TCAGGCGGAAGTTCGCCCGGAGGAGCTGCAGGCGCAAGTCCCCGCGGCGGTCCGCATTCCTTCACTCTCCTTCCTCGCGCTCGGCTTCCCGAGGAACGCGCATGCGCGCCCGAAACGGCGAGAGGCGGGGGGCGAGCGGCGCAAGTGGGAGAGCGACGGGGGGGGTGGAGAAAGGGGGGCGGGGTTGTGCGTAACGCGTGACGTCCTGGAACCCTCCGTGCTGACGTGAGGCACGTACGGCGCGTCGTTTTTCCCTCCCCCTCCTCCCTCCCCGAGGCGCGCGGGCTATTTTGGAACGCTGGTCCGCCCCCGTTGCTAAGGGGAGGGGCAGGGGCAGGCCGGGGCGCCGCGCTGATTGGGCGAGCCCGGGAGCGGAGGCCCCGCCCTCCCAGCCGCTGGGCTTTCGCCCTCGATCGTGGAAAGCGGCCGCCCGAGAAAGGAAGGGCTAAAAATAAGGATTTTGCAGGAGGCGGACGGGAGGGGAGGGGGGGGAAGAGCGCGCAACGTTATCCAGGCCTCCCCTATTTATGGGGTGCAAGCAGACGTCTCTGCCTCCCTCCAGCATCATAAAACTGATGGGGGCGAGGATGCAGCCATGGGAAGCCCTCCAGCCCATAGGAAGCACCGAATACTGTCCCTCTCTTTCTCCTTGGCAAAGGCGGAGCAGAGAAGCCCGAATAATAACTTTAGAACGGCAGAGCTGGGTGGGACCCTCTGGGGGTCATGAAGGCCAGCCCTGGTCAAGGAGGCACCAGCGGGGGATCGAACTCCCAACCTCTGGCTCTGCAACCAGAGACCTAACCCCCCCCCCGAGCTGTCCAGCATCAAATCCCTCTCTTTCACCTTGGAGAGCGGTGGGGATAGCAGCTGAGAGGGGATTGGGGGGGGGACGTACCCTCTGTAGTCCTCTTGCAGCCTCTGGGGGCTCCAGGAATTACAGGGAGGAAATGTCAGGGGCCCCCCCTCCCCTCCCATCCCCTACCGCGGGTGATGCCCAGAAAGGCTGGAATCGAAACGCGTGTCCTACCAGCAAAAGTACGGCATGTGTTCCGATTCCAGGGTTCTGTGGTAAGTTTCTCGAGTCTAACCCTGGTGCCTTTGATTTAATGCCTGTTGCAACCGGGGGGGGGGAACAAAAGTGTTCCCGGCCGGAAGACATGGAGCACAGAAATAATAAACATGCAAGCTTTTGGATCCCCCTGGACTCTTTCTTGGCGAAGCTGTCCCTTTCTAGAAATGCTGTGCAAGGTCCCATTGACAGAAGCCTTCATTCTTTTTGGGGGGGGGCTGGAGAGGAAGGGGTGTGTTTTGCAGTTCACCTGCATTTCTTAACTTCCCCCTGTCTCCACCTTCAAACAACAGCCAGGGTGGGGGAGGGGAGGGGCAGGGTATTAATGGCCATACAATAGGCTGTTGCAATGTCTTGTCCCTGAGATATTTCTCACGCTGGTGCTGTGGTTGGAAATATAAGGAAAAAGATCTCCATTGAATCCTGCCTTCTCCTTATATGTTAGCTTTGAGAAAGCTAAAAGGGTCAAGGGTCCACCTTCATCCTAGTAGAGGTGGAGAAGGGAAGCGCTGTCTAGAACCCCATTATGGATTGCCCCCCCCATAATGCCCACGGCAGTCGCTGTGTGGGCGGCTGCCACTTTTTTCTTCAGCTGAGCCTCGGATAATATTTCAGGGTGAGGAGAGAAACCCCCGTGTACATGTAATATGTTTGAGGAATCCGACAGTATCCTATTCTTTGCTCTGAGAGCAAATAAAGAGTAGATTAAAATAATCACACCCAGCCCAGCTTTCTGAAGCTTAGGGAAGTTCATCAACAAGAATTAAAAGTCGTTAGTTTCCCTGCACCCTCTGCTCCTCTCGGCAGCTTCCTCTCGGCAGCTCCCTAGGTGGGAGGCTGGATGGGCATTTAATGCCTGCCTCGCGGCTCTCCCTGGTTTGCATACCTTGGTTGGCTTTTCAAAAGAAAGGACACTCCAGAAAGTTCTCCAAGCATGTTAGCACAAAGCCACAGATTTGGAATGCAAGGGATAAATGGGTCATCCGGGCACAAGCTGTGATGGGCTATAGATGCAAAAACAGGGGAGTGGTGTGTGTTTCTAAATGTTGCCCCTAGGGCTGGATATGCTTGGGATGATGATTGTCTGGGGCCCAACCTAAGTGTCTCCAGTGAAAGAGCACAAAGAATCAACTTTAATAAAACAAACGACAGAGACCACGTGACTGAGGCACCAAGAAGGCTGAGAAAGCGCAGGGCTGGGGGAACATGGGGGCTTCGCAATGGGGCTGGAGTAAAACGTCCAAGCATGCCTCCCCATGGACTATGAGGTCCATTGGGATTGCAGCCTAGATGCCTGTGAAGGGCCCCGTGTCGCCCAGCTGCGCCATAGACTAGCCTTCCTAGAGCTGGTGGGCTGCGTTGTGATGTTCGATATCCTTTAGGCTGCATCGGTGGTGGTGGTGGTATGAAGTATCTGTTGGGAAGGCTGTGTGTCGCTCAAGACGCTACTGGCCCCCAGTCCTTAGAGAGAGAGGAAGCGTCGTGCATGCCAGGCACCCATGAGGAAGAGGCCAGGCGATGCTTGGAATTCTATCTGGTGTCTTGGGTCACCGTAAAGCGCCACCCCTGAGATGATGGTCTCTCTCTTTTATCTTTTGCGCCTCTCCAGGAGTGCAGTGGCCTTGGGGAAATGCCTGGATCCTTTGTGCCAACGGTGACTGCCATATCCACTAGCCAGGACCTCCAGTGGTTGGTGCAGCCAACTTTGATCTCCTCCATGGCTCAGTCTCAGCAGCCTCCGGGCCAGCAAATGCCACCGCAACCGCAGCAGCAGCAGCAGCAGCAACAGCAACCGCCTCCACCCCCCACCGTAGTAGACCCCTACGACTTGCCCGGGACCAGCTACTCCACCCCGGGAATGGGTGCCTACGCTGCGGGTCCCTCCACGGCCCCCATGGCCCCGCCACGCTCCACCAGGGCTCGGCCCCGAAGGACGCGGGAAGAAACGGTGAGCAGGGACGATTGTAGGGCCTTGCTTCTCCTGTGGAACTTCCTCTGGGGAATCGGCAATGAGGTTACTAGTTCTGATCTTTTTGCACCTTCCACCTAACCCTGCTCGCCGCCCTTCCCCCGCTCCACAGCATGTTGGAACTTCAGGGAAAGGTTGGGTGGGAATATCGTCAAACCAAGTGAATTGTGCAGGGAGACCAAGCATGATTTTATGGCTTGTTTAACTCTCTTTCTCTCTCCATGCCTTCCTTCATTTTATCCACCATCAACTCTTCCCTCCCTTCCCTCCATCATTCTTCTGCATGATAGTTTGGGGAAAGTCAACCTTGGGTATGGGAAAATACAGGCGGTTCCAATTAGAAAATTACCAGTTCTGCATCTTGGACTGGCAGGAAACTGGATTTGACAATTATCTATCCTAGGGCAGCCATTGGAGGCTCCAATATCTGGCCATTCAGCTGAGCTGCCTGTTTCTTTGGCTGAATGATGGGGTCTTTTGTGTCTCCTCCTGGCTTCATGCCACATCTGGGAAGAGGTGGGTCTTGATTCATCTTCAGGCCATCTTGAGTCCCAAGGGAAGTTGTTAAAAAAAAATCCAGCCTGTAGCTATGCCCTGTAGGCGGAATGAGCAATGTTGGGCTCTGAGATTTCCCTGTCTTGCACAGGGAATGAGTGCATGCAGGGAGAGGCTGGAGGAGTGAGGAGGAAGGCCTGGGTCTGAAAGGTAGCCTTATCAGTTCAGCACGTAGGCTCCCTGTTTTATGTTCCCTTCTGAAGTCAGAGGTAGTGAGGATGGGTTGGCCAGCGTCCTCCCAGCAGTAAATGCTGACAGCTGGGTTTGCACCCTCTGAATTTTGGCAGCCTGGGCCAAAAGCCCCAGATGTCCTGCCCTAGCTGTGCTTCTGATCTGCCCGACTAGGGATAACGGCATGAGGTGTTTAGTATGAGAGGTGATATCCTGTTTTAGACTGGAGGAGTCTTCTTTCTCTGGTGGCCCTTTACGCACTTCCTTCACTTTTTCTTCTAGCCCTGAAGCTCGGAAAGGGAGTTATCTCTCTCCTAGACCACGTGTTGGGTTGAGCGTTCGTGGCGGGTGGGCAGTGGCAGAGTCCTCCTGGGGCAGGCTGCTGGGTCCAAGCAGAAGGGAAGCCATCTAGCTGTCCTCCTCCGTCAGCTAACCATTCCTCTCTTGCCTTTACAGCTGACCCCAGAAGAAGAGGAAAAACGGCGCGTCCGTCGGGAGAGGAACAAACTAGCAGCAGCCAAATGCCGAAATCGCCGCCGGGAACTGACAGACCGACTTCAGGCAGTGAGTAGGCTGTTGTGTAAACTATGTCTTGTTAGCTTCTTCAGCCTGTAGGCAGTCACTGTGTCCTTATGGAACCTCGCCAGCTTTATGTTCAGCGGTGGGCGTCCTGGTTTCATGTACCATCCAGTTCCTTTTCCTTCCCTGCCGGTCAAATCATGGAGGTCCACTTTGTGTGGCTTGTTTGTGGGCTTTCTCTTTTAGAATACACTGGAAGCCCTCCTGTATTTCGTTCCTTATCACTCTGGCAGGCTTCCCAGGCCCCTCAAGCTGACTTGAGAAGGTCTCTTTGCCACCTTCCCCATTACCTTTGAGGTGGCCACATCTGGCCCTTTGGGCTTCCCTCAAGGGCCACCAACCCTTGATGACTCCCCTTAATGCCTTCTCTTGATGGCTTTTTGCAGGGTCCTCCTGTCTCTCTTTCTGAAAGACTGAGAAGTCCATCCTCAGGCGTTTAGCTAGTGATCATAACAAGCTTTAATTTAAATCCCCATCTCTGCCTTTGTGCCCACCTGCCACTGAAATGCGCACGCACGCACACACGCACACGACATCTTCTCTGAAGTTGATTTTCACCCTCTGCCAGCAAAACCTTGCCTTGCCTTTCCCAGCCTTTAAGGCTCCCTTTGGATCCGATCCATGGGTCCAGGAAAGAGAAGCGGTTTGCTCCTTGCTGCTTCTCTCGTGCTCTCTCCGGTTCAGGTTATCTTCCCACACGGTTCTCTTGCTAGCTGGGAGCCCCACTCCACCCCATTGACCCCTCCATGTCTTCCGCAGGAGACGGACCAGCTGGAGGAAGAGAAAGCCGAACTGGAGTCGGAGATCGCCGAACTGCAGAAGGAACGGGAGCGCTTGGAATTTGTCCTTGTGGCTCACAAGCCCAGCTGCAAGATCCCTTACGAAGACGTGGGCCCCGAGCTGAGCGGCCAGCCGGGCACCTCGACCGAGGTGAGCGCTTTAGCCCTGCCGGTCAAAGACGACCCCTTTGGGCCCACAGCGTACTCCTCGGTGCCTCTCCACTTCCAGCAGCAGAGCCTCGGCGGCGGAGTCCAGACGATGGGCCCCACGGCGGCGGAGGTAGCGTTTTCTAGTTCTTACTTTACACATGGTGAACAGCTGACCGACCCGTACCCAGTTAACCCTTCCTATACGTCTTCGTTTGTGTTCACCTACCCAGAGGGATCCACCTGTGGAGCCAGCCACCAGCGGAACAGCAGCAGCGACCATTCCTCGGACTCTTTAAATTCTCCCTCGCTCCTTGCTCTGTGAAACTAAAACCAAAAAAACCCACACCAAACCACAACCCAAACTCAAACCTTTCCGCCTGATCTATGTAAACCCGCACGCGCAAAACTTCCATGTGAGCGAAGGGGGTGAGAACGAGAGCGATGGCAATGTACGCCCGCACATAACAGCCCCCCCCGCCCCCCAACTCCCGGCCCAACCGTCCAGGAGCATCAAATCTATATAAAAAAAACTCCAGGGAGGGGTGGATTGGACCTGACCTGTGTCTGCAACGCCGCTATCCACACTGCAGCTGCTGCCTTTAGCCACGCAACAGCATGTTGCGCTTGCTGTTAAACTTTTGGGGGTGCGGCACACACACGCGCACGCACACGCACGTTGGTGGAGAGTCTTTGCCGACCGTTGTCCGTTTTAACATTTCCACATTTTTTGGGCTTTGCAATTTTTACATCAGGAGGAACCAGGATTGCGCTTCTGAACTCCACGGTTGGATCTGCTGATGCCTTGAAGAGTTCTGAGCCTAGCTTGCTTGGTGGAAACGGGGGAACTTCGCCTTTTACCGAACGGGGACTCCTGGTTGAGCTGGACTGTGGATGTTTCTCTATTGCTTGCCGTCATGGTTGTAAGAAGCTGAGCAAAGGGGCTGACCTGCCAGCTGGGGAAATGAGGACAAGTTGGGGTACTCCCTGTGCCCTCCCTTCTCACCCCCAACCCACCCACCCCAGCTCTGCCCTAGCTTACGCCTCACTGGCTTCCTTTGTGAATTCTGTGCCAGCTTGCATGGTTTAAAACGGGCACTTTAATGCTTTTCCTGTAGTTGGTCAGTCATTTTAGCATCACCTGGATATGAGGTCTCCTCAGAAGGAGCTGGATTTTTACAAGCACTTTCCACGCCAGGCTACAAGGAAGGCCAAAGTGCCGGGGGGGGGGAGGGGGCTAAGTGGCTGCTTGTGGCCATCACTGGGGATCAGGGCCGATGCCTTAACCGAATGTTTCTGCCACTCTGCAGCCACTCTCAAAGAGTGAGCACTATTTAAAAAGTCCCTTGACCTTAGTGGGATTTGTGCCTGCGGCCTGATCCTGTGCATGTTTACTCAGAGGAAGTCCTAAGGAGTTCCATGGGAGGTGCTTAAATGTGCTCCCAGAATTGGAACCTGGACAAGACCGAGAGAGGGAGAAATTTAACTTAATTGGCTTGCTGAAAATAAAAATACTCTTCTTGTTCACAAGTTTCCAAAGTGAGGGATTATTATAATTATATTTTTAGGGACCACTCTGCCATTTCAGGTCAGTGTGTAACATGTTCATAATAGTGACAACCACCACCAGCAAGGTATTGAAAACTCGGAATAATTTTGGAAGGCTGGTGGCTTTTTGGTTTTGAAATTGGGCTGAGCCTACCAGCCACCTCCTTTGTGTGTCCCCCAGAACAAAGCCTTTTCCACTGGCAGGATTGTGCCTCCCTTGCTTGGTTTTGCCTGTCGTGTGTGTGTGGGGGGAAGAGCACAGTTGTGGGGGGAGTTTGGTGATAATACTGTGAATGGACCTCTTGCCTGTACAGATGCTTCTCTTGATATTGTGAGACTCTCAATATTTTTGCCTTTTGTCAGCCGAACTTTAGGTGGACTGTACTTGCTCTCTTTTTGCTCTGGTTTATTGTCTTTGTGGTCTGAAGCCAATTCCCGATCTCTGATCCCGATGCCTTTTTGGGTTGGTCTTAAGTCCCACGCACTGCAGCTGTTTTGTTAACCTAGCCTGAGAGCTGGTATCTGTCCCAGAGCTTAGCATCTTTCAAGGGGGGGGGGTTGTTTGTTTTGTTTTGGACAGCCGATCCCTAGGGCCATACTGGCTGGGGGAGTTGTAGTCCAAAAAGCTGTCTTTCTAGGCTCTAATCTACACAGCCAAATGTATAGTGGTTTAATCCCATTTTGGGGGTTCATCCTCTGGAATCCTGGGGTTACCAATGAAGCACTTGCAATTGTTTTCTGTTCAAGAGTTTTGGCGCACTTTCCTGTACTATAGCACTTGAGCGCTCTAGCAGGGAACTGTCAGGATTTCACCAAACTGCCTGTCTTGGGATTCTGCAGGATGGAGCCATGACCATTAAATGTGGGATCAAAGTGACAAAATTAGGGAGCGTAGACATGCTCTGGGAATGATCCCAATGTGGAGATTTCTCTCTCTCCCCCCCCCGCCCCTGCTCTCATAGGCTGCTGATATTTATGGTGAGACTCTTCTGGTGTTTAGCTGCCTTGTGCCTTTCTCCAGTCCAGTCCTATATCCCTTGAGTTCACTTGGCCCCTACCCTGCTCTTTCTCTGCCTTGGGTTCAGGAGCTAGCCCTTCACTGTTTCTTGTAGCTTTTCCCTTCCGTGCACTGTGCCCAAGATGCTACTTCAGTGCCCCTTTCCTGCAACCCTGAGAAGCGAAGCTTGGCTCTGTGAAAAGTGTTCCAGGGTCGCCACCCGGGCTCATGTCTGCTTCTAAGGCTGGCCCAGCAAAACGTGGGGCTTCCACCCATGGAAGGTCTGTTGGCCACTTCTGAGTTGTCTTCTCCAGAGATCAGCTGGTTTTCTCGCAAGGGTATCTTCCTAACTGTGCTCTGGATCCCACTTGTGCATCGCTTGTGCAGTCCTGTGCAATAACACTCTCCTGCTTCTCACACCACGCTGCCTCTTAGGATTAACCTGGCACGCTAGTGTTTTCACGGACTGGGGAAAAGTTGCCATGTAATTTTTTCCAATCTCTAGAGCACGCCATGCTGCTTTACATAATGTTTCCAAGAGACTTTTCCTTGTGACCAAGCTTTTGATGTCGTTGTTTTTAATATTTTTTTTTAACCTATGAACTTTTATTTTTACTGGCTTAAAAACGTTTATTATACACTTGCTGGGGTTTTGGGGGGATATTTTTATTTTTTTTAATTATTATTATTATTAATATTATTTTCCCCCTTGTGCTGTATTTTTTTTTTTAATTTGTGTGTGTGTAATGTGTTTTATTAAGCCATGTGGGGCCAGCAGAAGAAAGGGAGGCAAGACCTTGGATGCCTGGCCTGGCCCACTTGTTCTGCCATTGACTGGTTAGTGAAATAGCAAATAAAGACAGCTTTGAAAAATGCACTTTTTAAATGATGAATATAAGATCTATTTTTTCAAACCCATGTAAAAAAGAAAGCCATTAAGGTGCAATAAAAACGATCTGGAGCCCATAGAGCTGCCTTGCTTTCTCCACATCGAGACCACCTGATCAC